AAAAAAAAAAAAAAAAAAAAAAGTTTTTCCCCCTAAGTAGGGAGAACTCTTGTACTGCTTTTTGTTCCCAGAAAGTTGTGATAAAAGACCTGAGCCAGTGACATGGTGCTCCTGAGCACATGTGTGCGTATCTGCCAGGGCCATGTTCTGTGTAGGTGGGGTTCTGCTGTTGAGACCTGGTCTGCCTGTCAGCTTTTTGACACACCATTAAAGTTACAGGAGAGGCAGAGACCTCTGTGACTGAGAAGGGTTTGCGTCACCATCACTCTTTTGGTTCATTCCTTGCTCAGGTCCTCTGCACAAGGATACAGCCTGTTGGCTCCCACCCATCAGTTTCTGGTTGGGACAGTTCCTGTCCTGGCAGGGATTTTCCCCAGAAAAGAGGAAAGCCTCTCATGGAGCTGTGTTCGTGCATGTGTGGTTTTGCTCCTTGAGGCTGTGACTGAGACCCTTTTGTAATAAATGATTTTCTTTGTACCTGTGCCCTTTGCACGTTCACACATGGATGACTCCAGGAATGCACTGGCAGCTTTGAAAGGTGAAATGTGTTTACCTGTGGGGAAGGCTGCATAGGAAGCCTGTTTCTGTGAGCTCCTGTCTGTTACTGTCTCCCTCTCATGTTCAAGATGCTTCTTTGTTTTCTAACTGGGTGGCTAATTGCTGTCTATTTAGGCCTCCAGAGACATGAGCTAGTGACATTTTATCTCCAAGGGAAGAAAGATCTGTGGGGTTCCAATGACAAGATGGAAAGTGGTCATTGGCACCACCACTGCTGTTTCGTTACTGTCTCAGACCAACATGGATTCCACGGTTAACACTGTTCTCACCTGGGAAACTGATACACGCCAGGCATGGCCTTCTATAAGCCACAGCCACGCACTACCATAGACGTCTGCTTTGGAGGGTATTTGCTCGGCAGCTCTGCCTCAAAGATGGTTCTGAAGGCCCTGAGGACCCTAAGGCAAGGCCAGTTGGTGTCAACAGAACAGATTGTTCTGTGGGGCCAGTTACATAGAACAAACAGGGAGCATCTCACCGGGGAGTTGTTTCTTCTTGAAGGCATGTTGGTTTCACTGACTAGTGGGTGAACTCCAGGATTTAAGTTTGGGTTAAAATCTAACTTTTCAAGGTGGCAGTTTCAAAGGATTGCCTGATGCCAAGTATGTTTCTTTTCAAAGGGATGGAAGTGGCACTTGCGCCGAGCCGGTTTGGGCAGAGGCAGTTGAGACTGAAGCTGCCTTCCCCAGCCCCTCCACTTTGGAGAACTGGGACCTACTACAAGGCTCAGATGCATCATAAATCATAATGGTGGGGAGCCCTATGCAATGGGACTAATCTTTTCTTCAAGAATTGTCATTTGATGTTTTTTTCTAGTATAGGTCAGTATTAATAAAACATTTAAAAATACTTCCCAGACAAAGGACACCAGTGCCCCTTATTACTTTTCAGTCCTGTGAAGGCACCGAAACTGAGTTTTCTTTTCTTTGTTACCTCTGTTAAAGCAGTCGGAGGCAACAAAAACCTGGCTGGGCCTGGCTCCGTGCTAGAGCTCAGCTGAGGCCTTTTACAGCACCTGTGCTGCTTGGGATGCCCCAGCCTGAGCTGCTGCCTCACACCTGTTTCCCTAGGGGTCTTGCTCCTTAGTGGAATCTTTGGGTTTTAGAAATTTTGACTTTTCCATAATTGACTTCAATGGCTGAAGATACACACATTGTACCAGAGTCTGGAAATGGCCCATGATAGCTCACCTGTCATTTCAATCTAGCTTTTAACTTTATTTCAGATTAGTTACTATATTCAAAGTATAGCAGACTTCAACCCCCAATAAATAACAAATCCCATTTCCAAATCTAAGGAAGGCCAATAGATTCTACCCCAGATGCCAGGCCTGCTGCGGTTCAGTTCCATGTCTGGAGGCCAAAAGCAGTCTTGAAGATCTTGCATGTGCACTGACCACCCGCTTCTGCCAGAGGCATGCCCCCGCTCCCTGGACCTGACGCTGCAGGCAGGCAGGTCAGCTTCTGCTGCTACTGTGCCATCTTTGCACAGGTGGTATCACTCAGCTGGCGGGGATCCATTGGGTGTGGGTGGCATTTGGAGGGTCTGATCCCCCAAGCTAGCAATCTGATGTTACCTCCCATTTTCCTGGAGAGCTCAGAAGAACGTGTTGTGGTTCATGCTTTGAATCAACCAGTCAGCTTTCTGGCTTTTCTCCAATCCTGGGATAGTGAAAAAACTGGAATCTTTAAGAGATAGTGTTAACAGACTGCAAAAAGGAAAAAAGTATCAAATTTCTTCTTTTGGCTAGGAACAAAACCAGTCTCAGCTGAAAGGTTTGAGCATGCAAGTTTTCCTGAGCCCTTCCTCTGTTGAGCGCTGATCTAATGCGGCCTTATCCATTAAGGTTTAGTTATGCACTTGGGAAGCAGGAGGGATGGAATGAGCACTTTGCAGTGAACTAAGCTGCTGGTAGGGGGTCCTGGCTTCCTGGGAGTGACTGTCCAGCTCCAACAGTCACAGGGGGCTACACAGGGGTCTTGGAGATGTCCCTTTGTCTTCAGCTGGGGAGGAGCCATGCCTTTGAAGGTAAGACTTTCAGCCGTATAACAGCTCCCAGACTGAAGCATAGATGTGGGTACTGGTGTGTCAACCACACCCAGAGACTACAGCAGCTGTTCCCACTGTGCTGGAGTAAACGCCAGCATACTGGACCTTAGGCCACAGGTGCCTTCCAGGCGGGACCACAGGGTGCCTCACCCACTGACTGCCCAACGCTGGCTGGCTACGCAAGTTGGGTTGAGAGAAATGCCACCTTTAAGGCTGCAGTGAAAAGCATCATCTGTGAGGAAATCTTATGTTATTTTTTGAAAAGTATTTTATTACTGCATGTTTCTCTGTCCATGTCTGTGAATGTGAATCTGACATGAGCTGCATCATCACAGTGGTGAGAGCAGGACTATGACAGACCTGACAGCAGCTCCTAGGTATGGTGACACCAGAGTTCAACCAGAGCCAATGCCAAACATAGTACGAGAAGTGTACTTTTTAAGAAATTAATTTATTTGAGTTATTTTTGAAATATAAAATTGGTTGTATTTTTTAAAGCTATAATTCTTGTAGACATTCTGTGGTTAAACTTTTGATTGTGCTTATTAAAAAGGGTCATTTATGTTTTGCATTTCAGCTTTATGAAAAATAAAGTTTCTTTGGGAAGGTGACATTTGGTTTCCTGATTACAGGAGGGAGTTGTCTCACGCAGGGCGGGGAAAGCCCCTGGCTGATGCTCAGACCAGGAGAGGATTAGTACCCTAGGCTCTCCCACCTGCCCAGGGGTGAAGGGTGAAGACCATTTCCACAGTGTACTGAGCTGCTAACAGGGCAGCCCGCATGCTGGGGGCACCTTGTATAGACGTGTCTAACTCAAGAGTTCTGATTGAAAGCACATAGCAGAAGCTCTGGAACTTCCCTTTTCAGTTGTAAGGTCATGATTCAGTTCTTTGGTGCCCCACCGAGTAATAGAATATGGGCAGCTTTTGCAAGGTATGAACTTAGGTGTTTCTTATTTGCTGCAGTGAGTCAGAGGAAGCCCAGTAACTAAGAGAAGGATAGATAAAATTACTGGAATCTTTCCAATAGCTCTGCCCTACCTCACTGTCTAAATGAATTAAGGCTAAATCATATTTAATTTTTCCAGAATGACTATATATAGAGCTGTGAGAAAGTGAGGTTTAGATTCAAACTCCTTAATAATTTTTCCCAGAATTACTAACAATGGTGTTTAAACAGATTTTGATTTGTGAAGATAACGTGAGAAAAGTCCCAAAGAAACCTCCGAGAGCACGGAGAAGTTGACCAGGTCCTGGGTGGGGTGGTGCTTCTCTCCTGAGAAGGGCACTGTGTCCCTCCCTGGGTAAGCGCCCTGGATACTCCTAATGTTCCAGTGTTGGGGCAAGGGCAGGCCGGTGGCTCCTCTAAAAGGCAGGCAGGCCGGGCAGAGGGAAAAGAGACGCAAAGCTCTCCACCTCCTCCCTGAGGGCCTGGACAGCCCCACGGTGTTTCTCATCCCTGGCTAGTTTCTCCTTGAACTCCTTCAGGGTGGCCTTGACACCGACGTCGTTCTGAATCTGCAGAGTCAGTTCTATACCTGTGTGGCAAAGAGAGATGAGTCCTCTGGGACCAGGAGACACACTCAAGACCCAGATCCTCCAGCTGGGGGTGTGACAGCCATACATATTAACGTTCAGCCCAGAGATGATTCTTGTATGCACCCTCCCTTGGGCGGGACAAGTTTACAGACATTTCAGACCAATGCTCTGCTAAGTGATTTCTGCCATCTCCTGCCCCCAGCACTCAGCTTTGACACAGGGATGTCCCTCAGTGGCTGGGTCTCCACTGCTCAGACTCCACACACACAGCGCAATGCAGGGAACTTCCAAACCCATATTCTTACCTTTGTGGATAAAGTGAGCTACTTTTTGAAACTCTTTTTCCAGAAGTCCTCGGGACGTCAGTGCTGGAGTCCCCAGTCGCAGCCCACTGGGCCGCAGTGCGCTTCTGTCACCTTCAACATAAACAGGCTCTGTGCTTGGGTTGCACCCAAACTCGCCTCTGACCACTGTGCACTGAAAAGAGGCCCTTGGGCAAAACGAGCAGGCCTGCAGATGCCAGTTTGATCTAGTGAGGAGAGCGCAGCTGATTTCCACAATAGAGGCGGAAGCAAAGGCACAGGCAGCGGGCACACTCTGACTGCTCTACTTTAATAGTAGGAGTCACCCTCTGTGACATGCCCTTTGCTCCTAAAAGTGAGGCTAGCCTCTGTCTGGGTTTGGGTTGCATCACCCACACCTTTTGACCCACTGAGAAATCCAGTCTGTTTTCCNTGACCAGGTCCTGGGTGGGGTGGTGCTTCTCTCCTGAGAAGGGCACTGTGTCCCTCCCTGGGTAAGCGCCCTGGATACTCCTAATGTTCCAGTGTTGGGGCAAGGGCAGGCCGGTGGCTCCTCTAAAAGGCAGGCAGGCCGGGCAGAGGGAAAAGAGACGCAAAGCTCTCCACCTCCTCCCTGAGGGCCTGGACAGCCCCACGGTGTTTCTCATCCCTGGCTAGTTTCTCCTTGAACTCCTTCAGGGTGGCCTTGACACCGACGTCGTTCTGAATCTGCAGAGTCAGTTCTATACCTGTGTGGCAAAGAGAGATGAGTCCTCTGGGACCAGGAGACACACTCAAGACCCAGATCCTCCAGCTGGGGGTGTGACAGCCATACATATTAACGTTCAGCCCAGAGATGATTCTTGTATGCACCCTCCCTTGGGCGGGACAAGTTTACAGACATTTCAGACCAATGCTCTGCTAAGTGATTTCTGCCATCTCCTGCCCCCAGCACTCAGCTTTGACACAGGGATGTCCCTCAGTGGCTGGGTCTCCACTGCTCAGACTCCACACACACAGCGCAATGCAGGGAACTTCCAAACCCATATTCTTACCTTTGTGGATAAAGTGAGCTACTTTTTGAAACTCTTTTTCCAGAAGTCCTCGGGACGTCAGTGCTGGAGTCCCCAGTCGCAGCCCACTGGGCCGCAGTGCGCTTCTGTCACCTTCAACATAAACAGGCTCTGTGCTTGGGTTGCACCCAAACTCGCCTCTGACCACTGTGCACTGAAAAGAGGCCCTTGGGCAAAACGAGCAGGCCTGCAGATGCCAGTTTGATCTAGTGAGGAGAGCGCAGCTGATTTCCACAATAGAGGCGGAAGCAAAGGCACAGGCAGCGGGCACACTCTGACTGCTCTACTTTAATAGTAGGAGTCACCCTCTGTGACATGCCCTTTGCTCCTAAAAGTGAGGCTAGCCTCTGTCTGGGTTTGGGTTGCATCACCCACACCTTTTGACCCACTGAGAAATCCAGTCTGTTTTCCAGTGTCCCCTGCCTCCCTGATCAAAAAGCCTCTCACCTCTAAGCACTAGCTCAATCCTCGCAGGGCTAGAGCCTGTCAGAAAGAGCCATCCAGGAGAGCCACAGCGTAGCTCCCATCCAGCATGGTGCATTTATCCCCAAATCATTTGATGTTTGTCCAGAAAGCCAATTATCATCAGCTCTAATTGCCCATAAGTGCAGACAGGAGGGTTGTGGAGAAGACTAAGGACTCTCACCTGGGCAGGTGTTCTTGTTGCAGGCAATAGAACAGGCTTCTAGCACCTTCTCAGCCCTGCCACCATCTGTGCCTTTGGAACGGAGATCCACGAGGATCAAATGGTTGTCAGAACCACCTGGAAACCAAGTAGGACATGTAGGAATGCAGATGGTCACTCCATGCCAAGTGGAGGGATTTCTCTCTTCCTAATGGGCTGGGGAGGAAAGGACTAAAGCGATGGGGTCAGGATGGTGAGTGCCCCACTACATTTCCCTGGAAGGCGTTGCTCACCTCAAGACACTCCAGGACCTAAGAGCTGGATAGAAAGGACAGTGTGTAGAAAGGGTGCCCGATCATGCAGAGGGGCTGTGAGGCTGAGGGGAGAATGACCTGCCTGCCCACTGCAATGACCCAGCACACCGGCTGCCAGGCAAGAGCCTCAAAGCTTGTCTGGGGAGTGACAGCTTGCTCAGTGCTACTCACAGCTTCTGTTTCTATAACAAATCACTCGGGAAGTTCCCACACATCTCTGAAATCAATCTTCAAGGCTCCCTGTGAGGCAGCATCAGAGTAGCAGGTGGTGGTTCCATTGATGTAACTGTGTAACCACCACCTTCACTGAGCACATATTGGGCATCAGGCACAATAGCCTGCCATAGAGTTTATCCTGGTCCTGAGGGTGATAGTATTAACGTGGTGCAGATGAAGATATCGAGGCTACAGGAACATTCTGGAACTGGCCAAGGCCGCCCAGAAGTCTTTGAAGTGCAGTACCTGGATCTCTTCACTTTGAACTCTCACTAATACCAATTCACTAACTTGGCAACAGCGATGATTTCAAAGATGCAGGTGAACTAAGTCAACGCTTGGCTCTGGACCCCGCAGCCCAGAGCTTAAGTTACAGTCCCCACAGCCTCCCACCTATGAGCCGTGTGGCTTTAATCAGGCAGTTCATAATTGGAACCTCAGACACCCATTTGTAAAATAAGACCAACAATATACAAGGCTGTCAGGTTTAAATAAGGTACTATGTATAGCTCTTGGCCAGTGCCAGGCACAGGGCCGGTGTCCAGAAATGCTGGCTGTGATTACGATCACCATTATGTGCCTCAGCTGCTGCACCGAGTCTTCAGAGCAGAGGGAACAAAGGGTGAGGACAGGCCTGGGAGCTCAGGAGGGGTGGGGGGACTCACCGGGACGCTTCGAGCAGCAGGGCTGCCAGGGCTGCCTGTACCCAGACAGAGTTTGGCCTAAATCCTTGTGATGCCAAGCCTGGTTCCCAGACCAGCATCACCTGGGGGCTGGTTAGATAGGTGGACCCCACCCCAGGCCTGCAATGACATATGCACATCCACATTTGAGAAACAGTGACCTAAAGGACCTTGAAGGTCACAGTCCAGTCAGGTTTCTGTGGCTTTCCTACTGGAAGATGGGGAGGAAGGGGAAAGCAAAGATGGGAAGTGAAGGACAACAGAAAAAAGGTGCTTTTCAGAGAAGATGGCATTTGCCCCAGCTCTGCTGCTCACAAGGTTTGGTGGGGAGCCAACGCCTCAGACCGGGGCCTATAACCCTGTGAAGGGCAGGCAGGGAGTGGGCACCTGCATCTACAGGGGACCAGGTCTCACCTTCCTGGCCCACCTGCTGCTGGCGCACACGGCAGCCTGTGAGCAAAAGAAAGCTGCCCTTCTTCGCAGTAACCAAGTCCACTGCCTACCAGAAAACCGCTGCCATCCTAACTGTAAGCCTGCAGTGGCTGAAGGGGAAGGCACCTCTGAGTGAGGCCCTCACCTGGAAAGTCCATGTCACTCAGCGCCACCATCTTTGAATTAAAGCAAACGTGGACACAGAAAACTCCCACGACCTCCCAGCAGGATGGTCTATTGCACCTTGACCCTCAGGTGAGTGGAGACACTGCTGCAGGCCAGAGCAAGGCATCGCCAGAGGGAAGGCCCCGGCGTCCTGTCCTGTTTCAAGTCCTGGCGCTGCCACCCACCAGCTATGTGACCACTGTGCCTAACCTCCCTCAGGTGAGCCTCAGGTACTCCTTTAAGAAAGCTGTTCTGAGGACTCATGGCCTCACCTGCCAAATGACAAATGGCAGCTACTATTGCCATCGTCTCTGGCCCAGCCGAGGAGGCAACTGTCACTGTGTAAGGAAGGGGGAGGCCACAAGGGGCACACCAGCTCCTCTGGAAGTGGTCCCAACTCATACTCCATCTGTAGCCACAGTGCCAGGGCCACTCCCCTGCGGCCATACCCCAACTGGATTAACCTAAGGAGCAGGGCCATGGCCTCGGTCACGGGTGCCGCCCAAGTTTCTGTTGGTACCTGTGACTACTTTGTAGCCCAGCTCCATCAAGGTCGCAGCCAGCACCCTGCAGTTGGCCACCACCTGGCGCTGATAAACTCTGAATTCTGGAGTCATGGCCTGCTTCAGAGCCACAGCAACCCCTGCAGGAAGAGACTGGTCAGGCAGGAGACAGACTAAAAGACAGACTGAGAGTCAAAAATACCTTGTTTCCACTCAGGCGTCCTTGCTTTTTGGAGTCATGGAAAGGGGTGGATTATATCCCCCACAAATGACGTATATTTTTAACCCTACAATTACCTGGCTAAGCCTCCTGACCTCTTCTGGAGGATGTGCTTTTGAGGTAGCCTTTCTTCCAGGCATGGAAGTTTTGTGCTAATAAGATGCCACAGGAAAGCTTTTCTTAAGCAAGATAGATTGACAGTCCTCTTTTAAGCTCGATATGTGACATGATTGCTTAGCGGCCCTAAAACTGATGTGTTGATGCAAAATTATGCAGATCTTTCAGCTCAGAGTCCAGGTGAGGGTGGAGCCTGCTCTACCCTGCGCGTCCAGACTTATCTGGTACCTTGTGTTCAATCCTGAGGGCTGCTTACAGGCCACTGAAAATGGAGGAGAAGGCAAAATGCTTGTGCCTGAGTCCTGCCAGAGGAAATGACTCGAAAAGGCCTAGAGTAGCTGGAGGCTGGGATGCCATCCTCTGAGAGTTGAAAAAACTGCAGATGCTGAGCTTGCAGGTACAAGAGGGGAACATGAAAACACCTGGTGAAAGCCAGCCCCGCCCCATGGCCTGGTGCCTAAATTCCCCATTCACTGTCTCCTCCTTGCCCCTCTCCGAAACACCAGCGCTTCTCATGATGGAGACGTTACACCTTTGTCCTGGGCTCTTCCGGCAACTGCTGCTGCAGAGAGTAACTCTGAGATCATTACACATTTTCTAAGCCGCTGTACAGAGAAGGAATAAGGCAATGAGTGTTTGCTGGGAGGGGTCGTGGAGTCAGAGCCAGGAGCTACTGGTGGGGCTCCAAGGTCGATGAAGCTAGGGTCAGACACAGGCGCGCCTACCCCACAGGAGGTCAGGGGAGAGGCATTGTCCTTGCTAATCAAACTCCCTTTGCTATGCCTTCTTCCAGTTGTCAAATTCCTTCCCTGTTGTTTCTTAAAGAGGGCTACACATAGAATGGGCCTGATTCTCAGTTTTGTCTAGGGGTAGCCACACATGTCTCTACCTTACACCAGTCACCGGTTTCCTGGACTTCCTGGTTAGCATCTCCTAGTCAGAGACAGTCCTCTAGTTTCTCCCTGGTGTAGGAATCCAGGCATGAACATCGGTGGACAGGTGAGATGGGAGTTAGGGGCACAAGATGAACAAAGTGGGAAAACCCTCAGTCTGACTGCATGGGGGCCTCCATGGGTGAAGGGATGCCTTCTCACGGCTTGGGGTTGGGTTTCGTGATTTTACCAGCAATGGCGTGGTTGTGGGGACCTCCCTGTAGTCCTGGGAACACAGCAGAGTTGATGAGCGACTCCAGGTTGTACAGAATCTCTTGGCCAGTTTTGGGATCCGTGCTGCGCACTCCTGGAAAAAAAACATCACAATGGGAACAACAGATAGGCTGGCCCCGCTGTTTTCTCCCTGCCTGGAATCAAACCCAGACTGCCTAGCTAGGCGATGCTAAGCACAAGCCTGGCTTCTACTCCGGGAGGCAAGACCTGGTATGAAATGCTGCAGGGCACAGGGGGCGCTTGCTTCAAAGGGGGGCACCACGCCCAGATGAAATGAAAGGGTGAAAATTCCCTCCAAAGGGGGACACACAGTGTAACAGAGAATACACCAGGGGCATATCTCCTCCAAGAAGTGTCAGAGAACGGTCTTTTAATACAACTACTTTGAGGGAGACAAGACTCATGTGGCTAGGCACAGGAAATAAGGTTCCTTTCAGGGAAAAGGTTAATAATCGGTAATAACTACTAATGTCTCCATAGACCTTCTTGTGAGCCAGAGCTGCTCTAAGCACTTCACCTAAGTTAATTCATTGTATCCTCACAACAGCAGTCCAAAGGAGCTGGTACTGTTACTCTGGTCCCTGCTCTGAAGGTGAGGAAATGAGGCACAAAGAGGTCACACAACTAGCCCAAGATCGCAGTGAGTATGGGGCACAACCAAGATTTGCTCTGGCCAGCTGAGCCAACAAATCACAATATCCAGTGGGGAAAACAAACATCTCCCAGGGCGGTGGGAATGGCTACCTGCCTCAGAAACCTCCACACAACTGAAGGACCTCAGGAGTGCAGAGGCTACCCATGGGTACACGGCTGTGTCCAGGGCTGGAGCTGGGCGAGGAGCTCCTGACCCAGTTTCCGGAGGGCTGGCTTCTCTGCTGATGCAGGTTCATGCACCAGTCCCCACCACGGGCTAAATGATGACCTGATTGCCATTCTGGCTTTCTCAGGTACAGGAATCCCAAAATAATGGGAGCCTCTACGTACATGTGGACTGTAAGCATTCCATTATTGGAAAGAGAAATTCCACACTACCATGATAAAACTGGCACTATGATTTATACATCAATGCCTTATGGTTTGATGATTGTGAATCTTTCTCTAGGAGAAACATGGCCAAGTCCTCCAAAATAATTGTTCCATGAGGCCTCTGGGTAGCCCTTGGGCAGCCACGCACATCTCCCTTTCAGTCCAACACCTGCCTCATGAGAGGGTTAGTTGAGCCAAAGGAAGATGGTCTCCAGCACAATATCCTTCCTCCTTTCCCAGGACCTGGATAGCTGGGCTCAGGGCTTCTTTCTAGATCCCTTCTGAGGCCTGTCATCATCCCCTCCTAAGCAGCTCTTTCAGGGATCTTAATATCTTCAAGGGGCCAGGTAAGAGTTTTCCTCAGCTTCCTAAACCAGATGTGAACACCCAGAGGAGAAAGCAAACCCCAACATCCATGCTCAGGAGCACACCTCGCCTGTAGAACACCATGCCGGCGCGGCAGCCTCTCAGGGTTTTGTGGGTAGTGGTGGACACCACGTGGCAGTGTTCAAAGGGGGAGGGCACCACGCCAGCTGCCACCAGCCCGCTGATGTGCGCCATGTCAGCCATGAGATATGCCCCGTTGTCATCGGCAATCTTCCGCAATCGAGCATAGTCTAGGTTTCGGGAGTAGCAGCTGGTTCCTAAGATGGCGAAAGTGATACCGCCGTCAGAGACCCATGGCCAACTACGAGTGGCTGCAAGGTGGCCTCTGCATACACATGTTCAAAAGCTTGAGTATTTCTCCCTCTAAAATCTGAGAACAAAAACAAAGGATGTTCTCAAAAAATGCCTTTGTGTCGAAGGCAACCACTGTGATCTCTGCCTCTTCAATGGCATGATGGTCAGGATGGCCTCCAGCTACTACTACCCCCCCCCAATCAGTCGGGGAAAAACATTTCTAGATGCTTCTCCGCAATCAGCCTCGGATCTTATTGCACCACATGCTAATGGTGGCAAAACGGACACTTGGCCTGAAATAGAATATACTTAGACCCAAGAAGCTCAGCCAAGGAAGAAACTAGCAGTGAACAAGGACAGGGTGGGGAACACCGTCACATCTTCACTCTGTAAGAGGCCTGGGACTGGTAACTACTACACTTAGTTGCTTTCTGTGCAGTTCGTCACCTGCAATAATCAGCTTCGGGTGGAAGAGGCGGGCATTTTCCTCCAGTTGGTCATAGTTGATGTAGCCAGTGTCTGGGTTCACCTGTGGAATGTCATGGATACTGCAGGCTCAGGTAGCCCTCTCCAGCCAGGCCTCCCACCTGAACTTGCACCAGCTGTCAAGGATAAGATGACTTCTTCCACCTGCTCAAAGCTGTCTGCTCCTCTCCGCCATGAAAACAGGAACGATGTCCCAGGCCAGGACTTGAGGGTGAGGTGGGATACTAGAGTATTTGGCATGCACAAGTGGTGTAGACAATTGAGTATCATTCACCGACTCACAATGCCCTCCTCCCTTCCCCCAGGGTTCTCCTGGGATGAGAAGGAACCAAAAAGCCACTGCAGAATGAAAGATAAAGCAAGCACCACACCAAACAGGAACTGACTCAGTTACTTTCAGGAATGAGACAAAGTGCCTGCCAAGAGCACTTTCAGTCCAAGTTCAATGAGGCCAGAAAAAGAAATAAAGGCATAAGGATTAGAAAACCTAAAAAAGCTGATTTTACTCACAGACACAACTATAGTTCCAAGACTGTAGAAGCAAGCTATTAGAATTAGCAACTGAATTTAGCGAGGTCACTGGATATAGGGTCGAAAACCAAAAATCAATTATAGTCATATATATAAGCAGCAAAAAATAGAAAATGAAATTTGAGAGAAATTTAAAAACACTTTTAAAAAGTTACAGTAATTAAGGTGGTATGTTCTTGTGGGAGGAGGATCTGACAGGCAGAAGAGCCTGTCGTGACGGCTAGCTATCGACTGATGGCAGGGAAGGTATGGTCTTCCAATAAATGGCACTAGGTCAACTGGATATCCACGTCGAAAAAATGTTATCTGGATGCCTGCCTCAGCCACACAAATCAATTCCAGATGGACTGCAGATCCATCTCCACGGGAAAGGTAAAACAACTTTTTTTCTTTTGGCAACACATTTCTTAGTAAGTTCAGTTTATTAAAGTTATGTTAAAGCATTTATGCTAAGGGGAAGTAAAAATAATCACAGGGGGGTGTTGTAGCTCAGTTGGATGAGTGTTGTCCCATGTACCAGGTCATGGTTCAATTCCTGGTCAGGGCACATGCCCGGGTTGTGGGTTCAGTCCTCAGTAGGGAGCATGCAGGAAGGAGGCAGCCGATCAATGTTTCTCTCATCGATGTTTTTATCTCTCTCCCTTCGTCTCTCTGAAATCAATAAAAACATATCTTTAAAAAAAATAATCATCACAGTAGGAGTTACTGTAGGAAAGATTTAGGGACATGGGGGGCATGGGAGCCCTCTAGGGAGGAGGTGGTAAGAAACTCCCCGTCCCATGGAGGGAAGGGTTTTGGGTTAGGTGGTCACCCTTTCCAAATTAAAAAAGTGTTTTCAATTCAACGCAATTACAGAATCTTGTGTGCTAGGTTATAGAGACCAAGAAGTCATCTGGAAAGGCAGGCTGAAAGACGATTTGTGGTTTTGTCTTATGTTTTGTTTTAGGGATGTAGCCGATTCTTTCTCAGTCACCTGAACTGAGCAAAGAAACTATTGATAAAAAAAATCAATGGCTGATCTACAGGGCAAAAAAGGACATCACTCTAAAAAATTTTTAGAGGATATAATTACCAAAAAAATCTGTCGCTACTCTCTCCCTCCACATTTTGCTTTTGAAACTTGTGAGATTTTTTTAAAAAGGTTTCTTGTTTGCTCTTTTTAATCTTGAAAATTTGACAGTAAAACAGCTCCTGGAACAATTCATAGGCATTTGTAACACTGTCCTGGGGCCAGAGCAGTGCAGAGGCATTGGACAGGAGGGAAGGAGCAGCCCCTCATAGCACAGGACCAGAGGGAAGACTTCAGTAACAGCAGACATTGGGCCCCCAAAGGCCTCATCTAAGGTTGAAAAGCAAGTTGGTGATTACTCTGCCACCATTCTTTCCATGGTAAAAGAAACTAGGAATTGGCTTTTGTGTTCTCAGTGCAAAGACAGATCACTGTATTACCACTGTCATGTTTCAAAATCCATCTTCAAGGTCAGCGTTGGCCAATGCAGATACCTGTCACTGGAAACACCAAGGCTTTCTATGAAAATATATGAACCATCACTTGCACTCAGAAAGCATATGGCCCTGGCCAGGTAGCTCAGTTGGTTAGAGCATCATCCCAATACACCAAGGTTGCAGGTTCAATGTCCAGCCAGGGCACATACAAGAAGCAATCAATGAATATACAAGTAAGTGGAACAAATCAGCGTTTCTCTACCTCTCCCCAAAACCAATTAAAAAATAAAATAAAATAAAGCATATGTGCAATTAACTAGAACTGAGACAAAGGCTAATAATAGATTAAAATAGCAAACAATCAAAGATATGCAACAATGATTACAGAATGCCAAGAGAGATCAATGGCTTGGTGTTCTTTCTCTCTCTCTCTCTCTCTCTCTTCCTTCCTTCCCTCCTTCCCTCCTTCCCTCCTTCCTTCCTTCCTTCCTTCCTTCCTTCCTTCCTTCCTTCCTTCTTCTTTTTCTTTCTTTCTCTCTCTCTCTCTTTCTTTCTTTCTCTTTCTTAAAATGTTTTTATTGATTTTTTTAGAGGTAGAAGAAGAGGGAGAGAGACAGAGAAACATGTATCGGCTGCCTCCTGTACACACCCCACCCAGGGATCCAACCTGCAACCTGGGCATGTGCTCGGACCAGGATCACCTTTCAGTGCACAGGACAACATTCAACCAACTGAGCCACACTGGCCTGGGCAGCTTGATTTTCTTAAAAAGATAAAATTATGTGTCTGATATTCAACCAAGCATAATAATGCATGGCTACCTTTGCTCGTGGTAGGACATATGAAACGAACCAGGGATGGCCCATTCAATAAACACGAGGAAAGAGTTCTTGGACACAAGGAAAAATCATCACGTGCACAGAGTGTACCATAAACAAGTATGGTTACCTCTTTGTACCCATTTATCTATTTATCTCTGTAGATAAGTCACTATGCCCCTCATGAGCCCATGAGTCTAACATGCATTTTTAAAATTTTTTTATTGAATTTAGAAACACTGATTTATTGTTCTACCCATTCATGTACTCATTGGTTGCCTCTTGTATGTGCCCTGACCAGGGATTGAACCCCCAACCTTGGTGTATCAGGATGACTGAGCCACCTGGCCAGGGCCTTACATGCATTTTTTTTTTTAAACCAAACTGTTTATGACAAGGGTCCCACATAAATATTTGCCAGTCCTGAGATGGGCATATGGCCTGGCTCTGACTGGGCTAAGGAGGGCTGGCTAGGTGCTGATGATAAGTAGGGCGGCTGGCTCTGGTGCTGGAGCTAGGGATGCAGCTGCTGTCACTAGTAGTCCAGCTGTGGTGGACCTGGCTGCTGGGAGTTGTCATCCCAGCTGTCACTGACCCCTAGCTCTGGAGCAGTCAGCCACCCTGCTGTGGCTGGAACCTCCTGTGCAGTTGCCTCCCCAACTGTCCCCCTGTGCCTCAGATTGGCCCCCTGTGTTCCATCCCAACTGTCCTCAGACAGCCCTGTATGCCTGAGGAGTCCCCAGGACAGGGAAATGACAAATGGTGAAAGGTGGGGACTTCATATAGTGCCAGGTGAACAAAACTTCTTTCTATTGGTACAGCCAAACACTGGAGGCTTTCTGAGGAGATGGACTACGGAGCTATGGAGAGGCACTCTTACCTTATAGGGCATAGATTCAAAAAAGATGGATGTAGCAGAAATTTTCTTCTTGTCTGTCATGAACCCGTGGGTCAGGTGGCCTCCATCAGGCAGATCCAGGCCCATGATGCGCCCATGGGGTTCCACCAGGGCAGTGTACACTGCGAAGTTGGCAGGGGAGCCTGGATGGGGCAGACCAGAGGTAAAATTGCTTCTGCCCATGAAGCGCCCAGCAGGACCCCAAGCTTGGCTACTAAGCCATCAACCAGAAGTGGCAAGAATAGACTTGGCACCATATATAATAGTGAAATGCTCCATCTCTGAGTCCATCTGGTTCAAATCTGTGTAGTTCCCATGGCCTTCAGGCTAACAGCTGCTTTAGACATGCTAATCACTGGAGGAAATCTGCTTGGGGCCTCAATTCTACTTTCTTAAGATGGATTTGAGGATTAGGTCTCATTTGGCACCTTCTCCATCAACAAATCTTTCCTTACTCCAAACTCTGAGTTTTGACCTTTCAAAGTGTGGGGCGCACGGACTTTGGACTGGTAACAATTATGCATCCCTGTAGCCCCCAGAGGTTTGCCTGCACCAATCCCCTCGAGAATGAGGGAAGGGGATGGTCAGAGATACGGCACTATCCTTGAGGGGCAAGAACAGCTGGGAGCCAAGGACATGGAGAAAGACAAACGCAACCAGCAGGGGCTTACTTCTAACTTTTGTTATGGGCAGTCCTTCTCTTAGGACTCCTCTCCACGAGCATTTGCCTCAGTCCTATCTGGACCTGGTAATTACCCGAGTATGGCTGGACATTGACCCCCCAGCACTGGGGGTCCAGACCATAGACCTGCAGCGCGCGCTTCTGACAGAGGATCTCCAGCTCATCGATAAACTCCGTACCGCCGTAATACCTGTGTGAGGGAAGCAGGGGGCTTAGGCTCACTCTGCCAGCGGCCAAAGCAGCTCAAGCAGGACAGAAGGAGACGCAGCCCTGGCGCACAGCCACCATCAGTGCCCAGCTGTGTGACACCGAGCGAGTGTCTGCTCCTCTACCAGGCAGCTGACGTAAGCGACAGGATGAGCACATGCTAAGTGAAATAAGCCCATTACAACACTGTGATTTCTTATATAAGGTACCAAGAGTAGTCACATTCATGGAGACGGAATGTGCAATGGTGATTGGCCAGGGGCTGGGTGCGGGGAGAGGTAGAGAGTTATTGGGGGGTTTGCACTTCTACCAGAATTTTACTTTTCATTTAATAATTATATATAAAAATTTATTGAAAACATAAGTTTATGGTTTTTTTATCAGTATACATACTAATAATCATAATAATTCGGAAGAAAATTTTAACACTTAGGCCTTGTGGTCACAAAAGGCTTTAAAAATTTTTAAATTAAATGTATATACACTTTTTTTATTACAGTAAAAAACACGTAACATAAAACTTATCATCTTAACCAATTTTTTTTTAAAAAAAAGTGTTTACTGATTTTTAGAGAGAGAGGAAGAGAGAGAAACATTGATTGGATGCCTCCCACATGCACCCCCACAGGGATTGAGCCAGCAACATGGGCATGTGCCCTGACCAGGAATCAAACCAGCGACCCTTCAGTGCACTGGATGAGTTCAACCCACTGAGCCACACCGGCCAGGGCTACCATCTTAACCATTTTTAAGCACACAGTTTAGTGTTAAGTAGCTCACATTGATAAGTATTCACATTGTTGTACAACAGATCTCTAAAACTTTCTCATCTTGCAAAACTGAAACTCTGTATCTACTGACCAACTCCCCATTTCTCCCTTCCCCAGCCCCTATGTTCCATTTCTAAGATTTTGACTACCATAAGTACCTTATATAAGTGGAATCATATACTATTTGTCTTTTGTGATCAGTTTATCTCATTTAGCATGATGTCCTCAAGTTTCATGCTTGTAGCACGCGACAGGATGTCCTTCGTATTTAAGGCTGAAGGACATCCTATTCTATGTATATAACACACTTGCTTATCCGTTTGCTCCCGTCTGTCAGCTACTCTGAATAACGCTGTTATGAACATGGGTGTAGAGATATCTGTTTGAGGTCCTGCTTTCAATTCTATTGGGATATATACCCAGAAGTGGAATTGCTGAATCATATGGTAATTATATTTTTAATTTTTTGAGGAATCTGCATACTGTTTTCCACAGGGGCTGCACATTTTACATTCCTACCAACAGTGCACAAGGGTTACAATTCCTCTACATTCTCATCAACACTTGTTTCTGTGTGTTTTTTATAGTAGCTATTGTAATGGGTGTGAGGTAATAGCTTACTGTGGTTTTGATTTGCATTTCCCTCATGATTAGTGATGTTGAGCACTTTTTCATGTGCTTGTTGGCAGGAATTACTATTTAATGGGTACAGAGCTTTGTTTATGCAAAATGAGAAAGTTCTGGCCCAGCCAGTGTGGCTCAGCAGCTGAGCATCAACCTGTGATCCAGGAGATCGAGGTTCAATTCCCGGTCAGTGCACATGCCCAGGTTGCGGGCTTGATCCCCAGCAGAGGGCATGCGGAGGCAGCCGATCAATGACTCTCATCATCGATGTTTCTATCTCTCTCTCTCCCTCTCCCTTCCTCTCTCTGAAATCAGTAGACATATTTTCTTTTTTTTTAAATGGGAAAGTTCTGGAGATGGATGGTTACACCTTATTGTGAATGTACTTAATTTTTTTACCACAGTAAGGAAAAAAGGGTCAATGAGAGGTTTTCACTCATAATGAGGCAGGCTAGTAAGAAGCTAGGCAAGTGGAATGGGGAAACTGAGACAGGTAGCTGAACAAACTGGACAAGCAATTTACAGCCAGATACAGAAGGTCACCAGGGCGGACAGCCCTGGGTGACTAGCAACAGTCAAAACTGGTACTGGGCCTTGCCCCCAGGGTAGACTTTCCTCCCCTGGCATATTGCTGGTCATGTGGTTTAGATCTCCTGCCTTGGGGCTGACCCTGAAAGGGTACACCTGGAAAAGCTGATGAAATTATATTTAATTCCTCCCCCAAGACCACCCCTAAACTCCCAGCCTTTAAAACCCTTAAGATGAAGGTCCCAGGGCCCACTCTCCCTCCCAGGGGCCACACCCATGGCTTTCCCTTCCCCCTTTCCTTCCCCAATAGGCGTGTATCTCCTAAACTCTAAGGGACCCCACAAGACTTGCAACCAGGGAGCAATGGGCAGCGGCAGCTCTTCCCACGCTAACCCCTGAACCTCTCCCCAAAGCCCTCCTTTCTCTGACTTCCCAGTGAGCCAAAGCAGCCCCGCCTTGGCTCATTTCTTTCCTATAACATTTTTAGGGAACCAAAGCAGCCCCACCTAGGCTGTCCTATTGCTTCTTCTATCCTAGGCCCTTCCTTGTTTCACTGTACCCAGCTTTAATAAAAGTACTCTCAGAATCACCTAGACTCTTGTTGTGAAATCTTTCCTGCAGCAAGTCAAAAACCCACACACTGCCAGCTAGCCTTAAGCAGACCTGATCTGGGCCCGGTCACCTTTCCGGTAACGACACTTCTAATGTCAAATGTGTGGGTTTTTCCCCTCACACCAACCAGTTCTGACACCAACCAACTGTCCTACGATTCAATTCAGTTCAGACCCAACTAGCTGGAGTTAGCACCTCAAGCTAAGGGCTCAGTCCCACAGAATGACCTCACTTCAGAGGCCAGTCACAATTATCGGTCCCCCTGGTTACTCACACTTCTGACATACTCTGGGATTCCCACAACACCCTCTCATGTTCAATAATTCACCAAAATGACCCACAGAACTCAGGAAAGCACTTTACTTACTATTACTGGCCAGATACATGGGGCAAGGTATGGCAGAAAGGGTTTGGAGCTTCCATGCCCTCTCCAGCAGTGCCACCCTCCCAGCACTCAATCGTTCACTAACTGGGAAGCTCTCCAAACCTCACCTTTTGGGGTTCTTATAGTTTTTATTATGAGGTGACTGATCAAATCATTGGTCATTGGTGATTAACTCAGGCTTCAGTCCTCTCACCATGCCTTGCTCTTTCTGGCCAACAGCCCCCATCCTCAAGCCATCTAGGGGCCCACCAAGCGTCACCTCTTTAACATAATCTCAGGTATGCTCATTATGAATAAAAGACATTCCTATCACCATAGATCCCAAGAATTTTAGGAGCTCAGGTGCCAGAAACCAGGGAAAAAGACCACATATTTTTTATCATTCCACAATTGGAAAACATCTGGATTTGGGGCCCAGCTCTGCTACCAGTGTGCAAACTTGAAAAGTCACTGAATTTTAGTGAGTCTTAGCTATCCCATCTTTACAATGTGGAACGCAGCACCACTTTCCCTGTAGGGCTGCCATGAGGATCAAATGAGATATTAGTTGTGAAAACACCCAATGATCTCTTCAAGGCACGATGCAAAAGTTAGTCATTCACAGCTGGAGAAAGACAAGCCCTCAATTTGGTTTTCGGCCCTTCTACAGAGAGCTTTAGAGTATCTCAGGACAGAATGCTAGTTCAACTCTAAGGGTTACCTCTTCTTTTTCTCTGTCCTTTGGGACACAAATGTATAAATTTGCAAAACCATATGTCAGATTCTGTAATCACCACCTTTGCCTGGTGATGACTGTAAAAGAATATAATTTCTCATGGTTCTTAGGGTGAAGGGTTGACCGAAATCACTGCCTACGTCAATCCAACATTTATAATGCAGAAACAATCTCTGTGCGACAGATTCAGTGTCCACTTCTGAGTCAGTCCAAAACTGATTCAGTTACTCATACAGCAACAGCCACCTTCCATAACATTACTCGGAGAGCTTACTGACCTTTTCCTAGAGGCTTGACAACAGTTCAGCAGCTCCATACTCCTTTATGCACTGGCCTGTTAAAGTGGCTCTGAGTAGAGCTGCCCCTAGAACATTGGTGCTTTCCCAGCTGGGCACGGTAAAAAGGCATGTCAGACAGCAGGAACGGACAGAAACCCTCAGGTGGTTGGGACTCTATACTGATTCAGTACCTTACATCACTATGTCAGGAGCAGGCCTTTGATAACATTCACATACCTCTGGCCTGGGTACCCCTCAGAGTACTTGTTATTTAAGCAAGAGCCTAGAGCCTCCAAAACTGCTCGGCTGGTGAAATTCTCTGAGGCGATCAGCTCCAATCCAACCCTCTGCCGGTTACTCTCCTTCTTAATGATGTTGTAAACCTGATGAGAAGAAAAGACACTAAACATGTAGACCTCTTAAGTTCAACATTCTGCTCTGATCAAAGCAATAACCAAGTAAAGAGAAGAGCTACTGTTATAGAGACATGTTTTGTCCTCAGAAACTGACCATAACCCAAATAACCAAATTCAGAATATACTTAAGATAAAAATTCTACCCCACCTTGTTGCCTTTATTTCCCTGTTTCACCAAGCTTTTCCCTCCCCATGGATTGCTTCTCTTCCTTAAAAGATGGGTAGGTAAATTCACAGGGACAGAAAGCAGAACAGTGGTTGCCTAGGGTTTGGGAGTTTGGAGGAGTAACTGTTAATGGGTTCATGGTTTCTTTGGGGGAAGATAAAAGTGACATAAATTGATGGTGAAAACACTAAAAAAACACTAAATTGTGCACTTTAAATAGATTATTGTATGGTAAGTGAATAATATCTCATGTATAAAACTGCTATAAAAATACATTAATAAAAGATGCTTCTTGGTGTCTAAATGTAGAAAAGGGTCACTTCTCAGCGACTCCTCCCTCTCCCTCCACAGCACTCTGCACTTTGTAGACACTCAGAAATACTTAAATTTACCCTGGAAGGGCTTTTAGCGCTTTGTCAACTGCTGCCTCTAAACCTGGCGCTTTTACACTAACTGCAAGGCTATTCTCAATAAAGTATACTCATGATTAGAACTAGAAGGTAAACATGAGACTCGATGTAAGAACACCCATGAAGACCCCACACCCTCACCTCGATGTCGTTGTCTTTCAGGGGCTGCGCCAGCATTTTATCATGCGAGGACCACAGGTCAGCATCTTTGGGAGTGCTGTTGACTGCAGTCGCCATTGCACTGGTTCAAAGTTGCCTAAAAATGGAAGAACTTCCAACATTAAATTCAGTCAAAGCTCACTGCAACCTGTTAGTTTTCTGAGTTGCTAAAGTGCTCATACTACTTTTTCCCTCAGAATGGTAAACATGAAGATATTCTATTACAAAACCACTGGCAGGACTTCCGGTTCCCTTCTGAACTGTGGATGTCAGCTTGTTATCCAGTTAGTAATGAGAACTATTTCTGCTCCCTGGGAGGCCTGACCCAGCAGACAGAGCCCTGTGCTACCTTTGCTCAACTAACCTTTTCCCGGTTATGGCTTATCTCTCCAACTAAACTAATTTCCTTGAAGGCAAGGACCATGTGTAGCTTTAATTTTTTTAAATCTTCCACAGAATTCAGTGTGGCCATACATGAAGTAATATTTGCCAAATGCCTGAACAATAAAGAGCTGACTTAAGTGTTATTTCTCAAGTAACGAAAATGAGGCTCAGAGAAGGAAAGCATCTTAGCCCATGGCTGCACAGCAACATGGTCAGACTCGAAACCCCAAATCACAAGCTCTAAGTACCCACAAGGTTTTGAAGAAACTAAGTTAAAGCACAAACCACCCTGTAAGAATGACAGAAAACTGCATCCCATTAAAATGCTGGAAAATGCATGTTTTTTAACATATTTCTACAAAGAACAAGAATATGTGATCAGTAGCATCTCCCCTAGTGTGAAAGTTTAAATATTTATAGGAACCAACCCCCCATTAATCAATAGTTGGCAGCTTTTCAGTAGTTTTCCATTAATTTGATAAGCTTTCACCTAACAGGATTCATCGAGGAGGCTCTCTGTGCCACCATGGTATTGCTAATGGGAATACAGTTGTGAACATAACAGGCTGGGCCATGCCTTCAAGGGACTCCCCTGGTGGGGAAGATGAACAGCAAACAAAGCAAATGCGCTAAATGCAGGTGGATAAAATGAGGAAAGTGCCACGAAGAACAGGAGCTGGGTGCTGGGGCAAGCAGGGCTCACTGGACAGCTGTGTCAGGGGCCTATCCTGGGAGAGGGTGTCCAGGTTAAGAAAGATCCAATCATGAGGAGAGAGCCCATTTCCCAAGAGCACTATGAAATAATATATATTGGTCTCTGCTCCTAAACCCTTGTAATTTCTTAAGTGATTAGAGAAGTAGGAGCATTTTTTATTTTAATGAGGTGACTCGGGGTGGGCTCCTGGAGAGAGGGGGCTGGTCACCAGAGAGACCAAGCCATGATCAGAAGCTTGGAATTTTCAGCTCCTCCCCCACTTCTCCAGAGAGGAGAGAGAGGCTGGAAATGGAGTTAATATTTGATCATGTGTACATGAGGAAGCCTGCATATTCAGAGAGCTTCCAGGTCAGTGAATACATCCACACCAGGAGGTGATGAACCCAACTCCACAGGGCATAGAAGCTTCTGTGCTTGGGATCCTGCCAGACCTCACCCTATGTATATCATCTTGCTGTTCACCTGTATCCTTTATCAAACATTTTATTATTATTATTATTTTAATATATTTTTATTGGTTTCAGAGAGGAAGAGAGAGGGAGAGAGAAAGAAACATGGATGAGACAGTCATTGATCATCTGCCTCCTGCACGCCCTCTACTGGGGATCAAGCCTGCAACCCGGCATGTGCCCTGATCTGGAATCGAACCTCGATCTCCACAATCACAGGTTGATGCTCAACTGCTGAGCCACACTGGCCAGGCATATCTTTTAAAAACCTGGTAAACTTTAAGTGTTTCCCTGAGTTCTGTGAGCTGCTCTAACAAATGATGGAATCCCAGGAGCAAGTCATGGGAACCTCTGACTTGTACCTGAATAGGACAGAAGTTGTGGGTAACCTGGGGACCTAATGCTTGTGATTGACACCTGAAGGGGGTGGTCTCCTGGTACTAAATTAACTCCAGGTATTATGAGAAATGGACTGAATTGTAAGACACCCAGCTGGTGTCTCAGAACCACTGATGTGTGGAAACCCCCACACATCTGGTGTCAGAAGTGTTGTGCGTGTGGTAGTGGTGTGAAAGCAAACACAGCAGAGGCTGTAGCTTTTCCTGTACAAGTACACACACAGTATAATTTGCTAGACAAATATACCCATTGAATAAAATAGTCTAATAGTCCCAAATTATAGTCATCCTCCTTAATATCTGGCACCAAAAAGAAGCTATCAATACTCTTTAACCAGGAAATTCCTAATTGGGGCTTTCAAAGTAGTCATTATTTTACCACAAGCACAACATGATTAGAAATGTAGCCACCCCTGAAAAACAAAGGTAGAAGCACTGTACTTAAACTCAATGGACTCTTCTGGGGCAATAGCATTATCACCTTGCCAAGGGGAGGCAGGCAGGCTTGAATGTGGCTGGCCACATCCACATTTCCTGGAACAGGGAAATGGTTTGGGCACCACGCCCATGGCTTCTCCATGCTGACCTCTGCACTCAAGGGCCAGTTCAACGCATGGACCTCTGCATGAGTCAACACACTCTCAGCAGGTGGTAAGCCCACACAAAAAAGCACAAGAGCCAAATTATGCCCCTTGGTCTTAGAAGCTCAAAGAGAAAAGCTTCTTTTATATTTTGACTAGTCAAGGTTAAAAGAATTATAAGGTGGCAAGCAGAGAAGATAATTCTCAACCACCAAATAACCAAAGTCCATTTGGAACCCTCCTCCTGTGAGGACAGTCAGATAGATCCACAGTCATTGTGGGCATTCAGCTCCACTCTGCTCAGGAAAAAGAACAGTCTCTAGCTTCATCTGTGGTCTCACTCATTTCACTTCAGCGTGACAACCTGCAGCCCTCTTGCAAATCTATTCCTTACGCAAGATGCTAATTCTGACTCACAGTTACTTCTTCACCCCAGGGTGAGAGTGTATGTGTGGCCGTCACCCTCTCCTCAGGCCAGCAGAGCCCCCCCTCACTGCCCACCCACTTGGAGTTTTCTCCCTAGCATCCTGCTACCACTCAGGATCAAGTCGTCCCCCAGATGGAGTACTTAATTCATACCCTCAGTAAATCCATATCCTCGAGTCCAAATTAAGCTTTTTTTTAAACCATTAAGAAGTTTGAGTTCATTCAGAATTCAAGGTTCTTTGTCCTGTTTCAATTAAATCAATTATAGATATAATCAATCAATTATAGATATAATCTATTGTATCTATTAAGTCAATTAAATCTATTATATCCTGGGGCACCCTGTAAGGAAGGTGAAGATCCTGAGTGATGCTGTATCGACTGGACTGGGCATAGGGATGCAGTTCCCTGCAGCCTGAGGTCATTACAGTAGGCACCCTCCTCACTCAAGCCCAGGGAGATAGACCTAGAAAGTGAATTCATTCTCCTGTCACCAGCCTCTCATGTCTCCAAATCTTCCCTCTGCGTTTGTCACAAGTGGAACTACCCAGAGGTCTGCTGGGGCAACTACCTGTTTTGCTTTTTTCCCCCCATTGCTTTTCAGAGTGGAAGGGAGAGAGACAGAGAAACGAGGTGAGAGAGGCTGTCTCCCATTCATGCTCCAACTGGGGACAGGGGTAGAGCCTGCAACCGAGGTACTGCCCTGGGCTGGGATCGAACCCGAGACCCTTCAGTCCAAGGGTCGATGCTCTAACCACTGAGCCACTGCCTGTTGAATGTCATGTCTCAGACTCTGTGAGCTCTACTTTACTGAAGAGAAAACTGAAGCTCAGAGAGCTAATGGTCCAAGGTCATTATAATAAGGGTTAGAATCTGAACTGTTTTACCTCTAGTTCCAAAGCCCTCCACCACACTGCACTAAATAAAAGCACAATTACCCACCTCCTGCATGTCCCCTCAGGCAAGAAATTCAAAATTTGATCCCATAAGAATGTAAACTGGTGTTTCCGGTGCAGCAACTGCCTGATTGATGGCACATGTTGGTGCTGGGCTCGGCTGACCAAGGTTCACTTAACTTCCAGGAACCTCGAAGCACAGGGCACCAGGCCAAGAGCCCCACAGAGCAACGTTTGTCTCGCGGAACCGGGAGACAGCCTGCAGACCGGCGCAGCCCGTGCGGACTGCGGGCGCGCACTGCGGGCGCGGCGACCACGCCGTCGCGGGGAGCGCAGGCCTCAGGGGCCTCGGCGCGCCGCTGGGCTGGGCCATTTTCCTAGCTGCGGGGTCGCGCCTAAGTCGGCTCTTCTCTCCGAGCGTCAAGGTTCCTCGTCTGTAAAACGAGCTACACGACAGCACTGGACTAGCAGCTTTGTTGTGAGCATACCGCGGAGGTCAGGAGCTGCACGTAAATTTAAAATGCTCGGCCAGAGTGCACAGCAGAGCGCGGCAACTCGTATCGGTGTGACGCCGAGGCCACCACCCCTGCTGCACCTATGTGTGACCAGAGATCGGCGCTCCGGGCTCGCCGCCGCCCGACCCTCACCCAGGCACTAACCGCGCGCCCCGCACTCCTGCAGCCTCTCAGAGCCAGGTGAGGTTGGGGGCCGCGACCCGAAGACGCCCACGGCGAGGCGCACAGCGAGCGCGGGGGCCATCGAGGCCCTGGGACCCGAAGCTGCCCACCTACCGAAAGGAGATCGGGCGCACCAGCCTAGCGACACCTCGGCCCCAGGTTGCTGCGGGAGCCACCAGTCTGAGACCCGCGTGGCCGCGCACCTGCCACGTGACCAGCCGCGCCGGCCGCGAACGCTGAATTG